AGGGAAAAGTGAAAACTTATGAAAAGAAATTTGTAGAAATGTGAAACAAATAATTAGCTTTCCATATAAATTTTTTCTTCTCACAAATCTATCGCCATTTCAGTACGCAACGAACTCGTGCAATTCGAATATTCGACCTGGAGTCACCAAAAACTACCGAGCAGCTTCCTCCCCTCCACATATGAACATCCCAACTGGAGGCGCGAAAAAGCCCTCATTTAGCAAATAGAGGCACAACTATGATCTGATATTTCAACCGGTACATCTGCCAATTATCTCATTAACGACTATGGCTAATACGAAATCTTTTTTTTTCTTGCTTTTTTATGTCTTAAATTTGAAGTTGTCAATGGTAAGCATATAAAAACGGGTCAGAAGTTCCGGTCGCGATCTCCATGCAGCAGAGATGACTGTTTCTTCTCTAATGTGTACTATGAATAAATCGTCCAATGAAGCCTTAGAAACAGACTACGCGTCAAAGTGCATAGCAACAAAAAACTCGATATTTCGAGAAATTGTGAGAAAATGATGAGCCATCATTTTTCTTTTTATCCGCCCATCATAAAACGGCAAGGTAAAATTATTTGAAATATGACGTTATCCTGATGAATGGTTGATCATGGCAGAGCAAGGAGTAGTCAAGAAGGAGGTAGACAGAAATTGCGTACGCTCCCGGTTTATGACGTTTGCGAGCATTTTTTTGCGGTGATCAAGCAAAAGACAACCAGCGAGTGATGAAGAAATCTAATAAAGCTCTGTAGAAATCTTCTAAGAATGTGTCAAGTGGTACGATACGATACGATAGACGAGATTCGCTACATGCAAATTGCCTTGAAAATCTAAACTTTTCGCTAGAAAACACATTTGCTTAGCAAATAATTCAGAAGAAAAACGATGAAGACTTTCCCATCAAAACAGATATTTTCCGAACTATTAAAATATCCTCGAAATCGCGAAACTGGAGGAAAATGGATTTCATGGAACAAATTCTTTCCAAAAAGACACGTCGAGAAATAAAAGAAGTGTACAGATCCTTCAAAGAGTTAGAATTTGCAAAGCTGTATAACTCTTAGCTTACTACAACAAATAGCAGGTTACTACAAAATCTACGTTCTCACCATTTCCTGTAGAAACGAAAGAATTTCATGAAAAGAAAAAGGTGATCATTTGTT